GTGTGTGTGTGTGTGTGTGTGTGTGTGTGTGTGTTCCAAATTCCTTGCATGGGTTTCCTACAATCATGCACCACTCTTAATAAATTTTATTTATCGATGACATTTTTATGGATAATGACTTAAAAAGGTAACATAGTTTAGATTGTGTAGGATATACGTTGGCATCGGCAAGACAATTCATTGATAAAAACACACTTCCTGTGGATGTTTCATCAACAAAATGGAATAATCTTGTTCTCATTAAGGTTAACGTGTTAGCTTGGAGGTTGAGGCTGGATAAATTACTAGTTAAAGTCAATCTCGATAAAAGAGGTATTGACGTAGATACACTCTTATGTTCCACGTGCGGTAAAGAGGTGAAATCCTTAGATTACACATTTTTCATGTGTGAAATGACGGTAGAGATTTGGTCTCATTTAGCTGGGTTGTGGGGGTTCACATGACAAACATTGCAAACTACAATGACCTTGTAGCATGAGAAACACAACTTCAATTCATGGTTTGTCTTAATCGGGTAGATTGGCTCATGATACCTTGTAATGCTATAAACTCTTTGTAATTTTTCTTTTCCCTAACACCTTGCTAGTTTTTTTAGTTAACTTCTTGTTGTTAAACATAAAAAGATAGGAAGAAGTAATGAGTGCTATAAACTCTTTGTAATTCTTCTTTTCCCTAGCACCTTGCGAGTTTTTTTATTTAACTTCTTGCCATTAAAAATAAAAAGATAGCAAGAAGCAATGAATCGTAAAGTTTTTGATTACGCTTTTCCCCACTACCTTTGCATTGTCATCGATCCAATATTAAATTAAGGGGTTCCAAAAAATCAGGTAGGTAACGCAAGTGTATAATGTATTCTTATATATACTCTCAAGTTTTAACCAAAAAATCAAGTAGGTAACAGAGGATTCAAATAGTGTCAACCTTGTGAGTATCTTTTAATGAGTGCCAACAAAGTCAAATACGCGTCCCTTCAATTTTCAACAATTCTCATATATGAATCCAAACAACTAACCAAAAGCTTTCTTGTGAAAACTAAAGGTCCAATCTCGACAACAAACACGTTTTCAAAAATGAACAACATAAATACTTTAATAATAATTAAAAAAGCTGCACAAGTAAAACAAAAAGATACATACGAATTTTAGGAGTACTAATTTTGACCATTAAAAAGTCAAAAATGAATTTTCTAAAGCAAGGTAATCAAAATGGGTCTCAACTCACAGGAGAAAATAATAAAAGGGTAGTCCCTGTCTTTTACAGTTTCCCACAAAATATTTGCATAAAACGGAACCTAATCAGGAATCGTTAGCGAAAAGGGTAGGTTCGTCTTTTACCATTGAGCCTACAAAACTACACCAGGAAAATGGAAACTGTACAAATGTTGTTATAAAAAAAGCAGTAAGTTGGTGAAGATATTAGTACCCTACTGTCATTGATTATATATAACAGTTGAACACATATATTTCTTCTTCACTTTCGCATTTGCCAGTTAAAAAAGCCTTGGCCAGTTCCACTCTGTTGCACATTATTATAATACTCATCTGTAGAATCCGATCCGCTTCCGCTTCCATCCGAATTATCTTCCGGAAGGAGTTTGATTCTATCAGCATTGTTGATTACCCAATCCGTGAATTCAGGAGTCGATGCCAATTCCGCAATTGATTCTCTCGTTGATTCCTCTGTGAATTCCTCCCATTCCTTCTTTGAAAACTTCTTCCTGTTTGGAGTCTTGTGAAATGTCGAATAAACATCACCTTGCCTTCCACTTCCACTTCCACTTCCACTTCCAGATGATATGCCTTCACAAATAAACAACTAGTGTTTATATTATAAATTTACAATAAAGTAGAATGCTATTTAAAAGTTGTGGAAAGTCAAGATTTTGTACCTTTGGCGGTGGGAGAGTTTGAGTTTGACCACCTGAAACTATTCATTTGACCACTCCTTGAAGGGGTGTTCTTTTTTGACCGACTAAGGAATTCAGGTTTTCCGTGGTTTGGGGTTGTTTGTTTGCTCTTACTCTTACTCTTACCCCAGAGGTTCTGCTTTCCAGAATATGATTCAGCCCTCCTGCTCCTGCATCATCAAAACATGATAGTACCATGGTCAATGCTGGTCAAATCTTGACTTGACAACTCAACAATACAAACAATAACTTAATCACATATTTTCTACAGCTTAAACTTACTCATGGTAGCGCCACTTCATCTTTGTGATCATGTAGTATAAACCCAAACAAGACCCCACTGCAGCCATTGCCAAAGGGGTGTCTTTAGTGCTCTGAAAAAGATAACAAGCGAATTCATTAAATCATGAACTATTTTTGGAAATATGAGTTTAATTAACCTACCAGGATAATACATGTGACTGCAACTACACGCATGGACCATTTGATAAATTGTGCAACTCCAACATCAACTTCTCCATCTTCAGAAATAATATATTTCCTCACCAGCCAATATCCGAAACCAGCTCCTAACAAGATGATTCCAAGCACCACAAAAACAGAAACCTGCAAGGTTAATTGAAGTTCATCAACATTAATTTTCTGTAAGATCAACAGATTCTAATTGTAATCAATAGTGTAGAAATGAGGAACTTACTGGGTTCTGGACTTCTTGGCTTATCCCAAAGTTTTGGAGAAATGAATTCAGAAATGCTGAGAGGCTATGCACCACAAAAGATCCTGCTCCAAGCTGGAAAAATTACAGAACACAAAGTATAAAACATAATATTTTAGAAACCACAAAAGATACTTGTGCCCCAAATCCTAAATATGAGTTGTTGCTAACTGCAAGGGAGAAAAAACTTACTACTGTGGACATTATACCAAGGTAAAATGCATTTCTCCTGCCAGTTGGCAGCAATTTCCTTGCCTGGTGAACAATAAAGATAATATAATTAGAAAAACAATGAAAGATATTGGTAAGAATGGCATACACAACAAAAGAAAAATATATGTCTGGGACATAATTCTTTTCTTCAATCTACTGGCAAAAGAGAGAGAGAGAGGTACCTGATAAAGTAGTATGAGAACAACAGCTAGAACTCCAATGGCCATAGAACTGGTGTAGTAAAAGGGGACCCATTCACTGACAAATGGTGCCAAAAACAGTAAAACAAATCCCACAGCTAGCAATATGTAACGCCATTTTTGTTGCACTGCATACCACATAAAATGTCAATGCAAACACAGAAACAGATTGAGCAAATGGAGAGAAATAAAGGCACACAAACACCTAACCTTCATCAAGACTGACAGTTACAGAACCAGAAACCCCATCACCAAACTTCACATCAACAAAAGTCTGCTCGTAAGGTGACATAGTGGAACTCCATAACCCATTTTGAAGAGATCTCCAATCATCCTTCTCACACTGGCATAATCCTAGTGACGAATTCCTGCAAGCAACTTCATTAGATAAGTATGCCCCCAATGCATATATCAAAATTCAGACTTGATAGCAGTCATCGCATGGGAAAAAAACAATCATTACCGTTGAAAGCAAACTTGAATCTTGTTGTGCCATTGCTTAGGGATCAATACTGAAGGGACCAATGTAACCTGATAGACACTTGCATAATGCTGGAGTTTCAATCGGGATACACCAGATACTGGAACACGCCCACAGAACAAAACATCTCCAGATCCTCCAGAAGGGCCATAAATTGGCGCTGGAATGACTTCTATAGCTGGATTCCCGACCTCAATGCCTGTGGTCTCAAATGTTGAGAATAGTTAGTATCTCAAACATACATTAACAAATGTAAGCATAACAAGTTCATAATAGCATGCTCCTAGACTTTTTTGAATTCAACAAAGGTATCAGCAATGGGGGTGTGACTACTCTCGTTAACAACACAAAAATAAAAAGTTGAATGTAAAACAAAATTGCACCAAGCAAACCCTAAATTAATAATTATACAGAAAATTGAACTACAAACCCTAAATTGAACATCGCATAAGCAAATGGATTCTTAAATGAAACTTTGATCAGCCACCGATTGCGAACCACATTTACCTCAATGCAAAATTGCTAATAAAGAGCAAGTTGAACAAAACGCCGCATCACGAAGTATAACTTTCTGGTCCGTAAGTTCCTCAAATAAGTAAAAGCCAAAAGAAAAAAGAAGAAGCGGAAATTAACAATGAGAAGTGCGTACCTTTAAGTGTAGTAAGCTTCTGATCTGAGCAAAGTGAGATCCAAAGAACAGCATAGAGAATGCAGAAGAGAAGAAGCGTGGAAGTAGGAGTAAGAGCGGCAGCAGCCATGATCGTTTCTCCGACGAAGGAGAGAAAAGAAGAGGATTCCAAACTCTCCCACACATATATTGCGGACGCATGCCGCGTGTGACGGCGCGTTGCGTCTCGGGTAAGCTTGGTTAAAGAATAGTAGAAATTCAAATATATTTTTTCACTTTAAAATAATAAAAATTAAGTTGGATTTTTTTTTATACTTGTTTTAACAAATAATAAGTTTATGTAATTATGTTTCAAATGAAAAATAAAATCATATCATAATGAATTTTTTCGTCAATATCATGTTATTTTTTATTTGATTTAACAATTAACACATTCAATTGTTTATTTTTTTTCCATTTGAGTTTTTTTTTTGTCAATATCTATTTTCGTTAATATCATGTTATTTTTTATTTTTGTCAATATCATGCTATTTTTTTATTTGATTTAACAATTAATCCTTCAATTAGAAAAAAAAAAAGCTTTTTCAAGATGAATCAAATAATTGAATTCCATTTTCTTCTAAAGTTTATATGTGAAATTGTAAATGATTTTTGTAATCCATTCTTGAATCGATACCAAAGTTGTAACGCAGAAATTTACTTAATATTTTAAGTATAAAAACATTATGCAGAGGCATTTTCGTCCAAAACTATTAAAATCAAAATTTTTTAACTATAAAAATAGTATGCAGGGGCAGTTTGGT